GGAAACCCTGTACAGGGTCGCTATGGGTCGGAACCGACTCGATGGCACTTAACAACAACAATGTACAGAAAGTATGCGGAGCCTGCTTAGTCTTTCATCAGATATTAATTGTACCATTGCTCCACTAGGTGCTAGAGATACAATGATAAAAAACAGGATGGTTCCTGCCCTCCCCGGGCTCACAGCCTAATACAGAAGACAGACAAGTACAATGTAAGTGACTAGCACTAAGAAGTGGAAGGCCAATGTTCTGAAGTCACATAGCAAAGATACTAACTCTGGTCTACAGGAATGTGGAATAAGCTTCCCTGCCCTAAAAATTCTCCTTCATATGTAAGGACAATGACAATTGGGGGTAGGGTGCCCCGAGAAATATGCAAGGTATAAATGATTTTCTAACTTAGGCACAAACTCTTACTTCCTTTTCTGGTGTTCTGTGGGTCTAGCACTCCCCTCTAATAACTCACTGATATCACTATTTTATTTCCTTTGCTCCCAGTGAGTTCTCTGAAGGTAGAGAACCGTTTTTTACATGGTTTATTTTGTGGCCCTAGTTCCTAGTATCAAGGCGAATGCAGAAAAAGAAGGCAAACAGGAAAGATGGGAAAATGCAGTAGTATAAACACTTTTCCCATCACTGAGCATCACCGTGAACTACAGCTAACAACTCTGCTCCTATTATGACCAACAGCATGCAGTAACAACATTCAGTAACAAGGTGGCTGACATGGGTTATGGATGCCATTTATAATGGTGGACAAGAATGAAATGCTCTGGTCCACTTGGGGATAAAACCTGTTACTTTACCCTCAGTAGCACCCTGACATAATCAATTGGTCTTAACATTGCATGCCGAATATCTGACAACCCCCTGTGATCGTGTAAGATGGATCCTAATCCGGGGACCCTGAATACGGTAAAATAGATGAAAGGACAACAACAGATCCCTCCAAGCAACTGTTTGCTGGGGATAAGAAATAGCATGTCTACAGTCCTTAGTTCATCAAGATCATTACGAAAAAGGAGAAAGTGCTGACTCATTGCATGGCCCCATAGTCTCACTCCCTTTAATGCTGAATGACAACTAAATGGCTCACTTTTGTTTGAATGAACTCTAGTAACTGCATTAGTCTGATACAGCAGTTTTATGGGAGAACAGAATCTTAAAGTGTGATGGATGCCCATGTTTACAAGTGAAAAGAAAAACCCTAAGTCCGACGCCTTGGCCTGCAGTGATTTAGCTTAGGCTGGTAGTGAACAAAACTGATTTGATGCATTTCGCTGCCAAAAGGAAGGAACAGCTCATAAAAACACAAATGTGAGTAGGCTGGTAAGTGGTGGCTGTTTCTTTGCTATACTGTTGGCAAAGAGCAGCAGAGACAACAGACATGCTGAACATGAAACCAGGGGACTTACTTGTAGAGGTCAGGCTGAGGCTGTTCACATTCAATTGCTGCTCGAAGAGTATCAATGGATTCGGCTGTACACAGTGCAATGGTATCACGTACCGCATAATGCGTCTACATGAAAGCAGAAGAAAAGGGGGAGGGGAGTTCTTTCCACATCATGCATCCACCTGATTCCAAGCATACGATATGTTTTACTATGACGTGCTGGCAGATTAATACAAATACTGATGTACATTGCCCACCAATACGTTTTAGGGTATTACTCTTAGAGATCAGATCATTACAAAGATAACCCTTTTGCAAGAGGGTTGCAAAGGTTTTCTTTTTTTCAGCTTTTAATTGTGAACTTAGAACATCAGTTTTATACCATTGTTTCATTGCAATGATTACAATATCCTCCATGCATCATCATTCAACAGTATTTGCTTCTATTCCCACTTATTTTTGTGTGTGGGGATGTACATAAAAACACTCAGGAATATATAAGAATTTAAACAACCAAAGTGTACATTCTGCAAGCCTGTCTCCTGGCTGCCAGCACTCAGCCTTTCTCTTTCCATGAGTCCTCAGCTGCTCCCTCTCTCCATGTCATCATCTCTGCCTCCATGTCTGGTGTCACTTCTTCTCTGGGTAGGGTCCCGTGCAAAGCAATTTTTAAAAGCTAGACATTTTTCTTAATACTGACAGCTGAGAGAAGGCCATTTGCAGCATGCATGTAATTTACTGAACCTCCCCCAGGAAAAAGACAAATTTTTTTTCTTCCTCCTGTTTGTAGAACTGGGAGCTATTACTGTGTTCACCACACTATCAGACACATATAAACTGAACCGAACTCTTCCAATCATAAGAATGCTAAAAATGTGCCAATGGCACGAAAAATATATCATGAATAGTTCCATTAGACAAATAGCGTAATTAATGGTCTCGAAAATGTAGCCACTTTCAAGTGGCTACAACTCCAACCAGGGGAAGGGAAATGATGTGTCTTGCTACAGTTAGAATATTTTATTAGAGTATACTATGAGCCTGGTTCACTCCGAACTCTAGAGAGAGGTTCAATAAACCCTTCTATATACCATCCAATAAATCAGGGTTAGTGCAGACTCAGAGTGAGTTGCTTGTGCACTTGGGAAGCTGCTGCCAAGGTCTTCAGGAACGCTAAGGAATTGCCTGAGCTGTCTTTAAAACTACCTCGTGATTTTGAAAGCCTCTGTATTTTTAGCTGATTTGAACAGATTAAACTATTTGAGAAAAGAAACCACATGAAAGTTTTCTTCCGCTCAACACATGTTTCCCTTATTGGAGAATCTTTAGGCAGCTATGTCCATTTTTTGCTCAACATTCCCTAAAACAGGAAACGGGTTTTGAACAGCTCCTAGTCCATCACCATGCCTTTGAAGTTTAGAGTTAGCTCTCTACAGGTCTTTAAGTTCCTTTTTGGTATACTTAGATCAAGTCTTCAACGGTGGATGAAATAGGCAAGCAGACCTCCAAGGGTAGACCCAGAGATGGAAGCATGAATGTCCTTCTTTATGGGCAGCATCTAGAAGGGGTAGCTTCATGCTTTGTGGAGCTTTGGATGATGGACAAGAACCTAATGTACCAGAAAGTACTAGGAAATGAAGTTCTCCCCAGTCTGAGCAAATGTACTTTAATAAGTTTCTAATTTTTCATAACTACAATAGAACAGACATTTGCCAAACTACACCTTAAGTATTAAAAAAACCAATCAAATTACTCTTGGTTAGGTTTATAATATCCTAGAAACAAACACTTTAAGTAAAACGTCCATCACTTTTAGAATAAAAAATGAACCCAGAGTCAGAGTACACAGTTATTTCTGTAGTTAAAGCTCCATTAACAATGACTCCCATTTCCAAATGTCTAAGTAAAATGATAAATGGATTATATCCATATTAAATGCAAGCAGTGTTATCAAAGTCATGCTGGCTTTTATTTGGGTTCTGGCTCCCCTCCACCCAAACAACACTCTGAGCACTAAAAGCCAAGTATTAGCTTAGAAGTCCAAAGACAAGTACACAGAAGCTGCTTTCAAATATACAATCTACATGAACAAGAAAAGAAAGGGAAAGATTCGGAGTGGTAGGCATCAGTATTGTATGATAAACCCTCCTTAGCATAAAATGTTCTATTAACCTTGCAATTGGATTCCCCATCCAGACTGGCAGTAGTGACGTAACAAGTGCCATCGCTCGTGCCTGATGATAAAAGAATAAGATCACAAGGAAAGGTTTCATTTGCCCGTACTTCTACTACATCACCAACCTGGAATGGAGAGAAAAAGAAACATTCTTAATTCCAAACAAAGCATTCATCAGAACTGCAAAACTCGCAAGACTCTAGTTCTGGCAATTTAGAGTGTGACAGTATCTCAGTGTCCATGGAAGGTGATGAAAGCAGATTATTCAACTTTCGGAATGAGGTTACATTGGCTTATGACTCTTTCATATTACCAACAGAACTGAACTTTAACCTTGAATAAGTGAGTCAGGTACCCTGCAGCCAGGCTGCTCGGATATTTCTGACACTATTGTTTGATAGGAGTCCTGATGTAGCCCTGTGGGTTCAAAACCCACCAGCTTCTCTCTTCTCTTATACAGGGTCACTGTGGGTTGGAAACAACTCGATGGCACTTAACAAAAACGTTTGCTAGGTCAACGATCACTGTTGCTTCATGAATGAGTCAGCAAAGTCGATGTATCACCAGTAGGCCAATTCATGAAAACTGAGTAGCCATCCCCGGTCCCCTCTACACCACGCAGAATTCAACATGCTTTGCCTTCTGTGTAATAACAGCTATGATGTTGGGTGTGAGTTCCTTCTTCAGGACTCAGAACTTCTCTTAATGAAAGAAGTATCTATTTTTCCCAAAATACTTGAAAATCATAAACTGATGTTTTCTATAGGTCACTCTCCCAACAATTCATCGACTACAGCAATGAGAAACCATTTCCTATCAGAAGTCACCAAACTTTGAATACAGATGAGGGCAAATATAAGAGAGAAGAGAACATGAACTATATCTTGTGTAGAGAATTTCCTATTCATAGTAACTCAGAGTGGCTAAGAGCTTAGATTCTTTAACCTGACTTGATGTCCCAGCTCCGTCACTTACAGATACAACCTTGGTAAGTGCCTTAGATGACAGCAACTTCCTCATGAAATCAGTACAAGGATGAGAAATGGCAATGCAGGCAGAGCATCTAGCAATGTGCCATGCACATGTTGACCACCTGAGAGGTGTTAAGAACAATGATAACGAATGCACTACAATTACTTTACTCTCAAGTGTATGTTTAGTGATGATGATTGTTTTTAATTTGGAAGAAATCCAGTCCAGTGTTTCCTAATATATTTCATACCATGACAATTATGGAAAACAATACTGTCAATACTGAATTAATTTGTAAATAACATTCCATGGACATTTTCTTCCTTGTTTGAATAAACACTTAAGCTGCTTACAGAAAACCACAACTCATGCTTAAATACTCAGAAGAAACACTTTAAGGTCCTCAAACATCTTAGAAGGAAACACTAGCAACTGGAAAACAACTCTCACCCACAGATAAATCAAAACCACAAAGAGGGCATTCCTTCTTCATCGCTTACAATTCATTTAGATATGAAATATGAAGGTCCCAAACGATTGGAACACAAAATGTGGTGATATCAGCAGGCCCAGACCACAAAGGTGACCTTACTAAAAATGTAGATTCTGATTCAGTACAACTGGGGTGGGAAGGCAAAGTCACAGCAGGGGTTGAACCCAAAGGAACCAATGGGAAGTCCTTGTTAAAAGGTCAACTCTAGCATTCTGCTTTCATTTCGGACATAAAAAGGCCCAAGAGAACATCACTACCACCCTCCTCATAAAAATGAGAAAAGGCTAAGCAACCGGTGAACAGAGATCCAAAGAGTGACAAGTCCCTGCAGAAAGACAGGGCACGTGAACTGTTTTACTACCGGTGGAGCACTAAGAGGGTGAGATGGCTGCCCTGAAAGTGGCGAAGAAGAAAACAAGGGGTATTGGTGCCAATTCTTTAAGGCTGAGTGTGAGCTAATACAACCATCCAGAGTCTTGGGAGCCTGAGAAACAAGGGGAGGTGCGGTCCACTCGGCGACTCTCCTCCACAGGCCTCCAGTGGGTACTCACGGGAAAGAGGGAAAGCAGGCAGCCTCGATGAGCCGCCTCACTGTACAGGCATGCAAGTGGTGATCACTGCTGTGGGGCACAGGAACAAACACATGTGGCAAAGGCCATCTACGAGGCAAAAGGTTAGAAACCCTCAAGGAGGAGGACAAAGGAAACTGTGACTCTTGCTGGAGGAGAGGTAGAGAAGCAAAGAGAAACCCCACTCAAGCCAAGACCAGGTCCTGACAGAAGGTCAACATCAGCTTGCTCTGGTGGTAGTGGTGATGGGGTTGGGGAGGGCAGGAATACTGACAGTCTCACCCCTGAGGCTCAGATACACAGGGCCTGCCTGATACTAAGACTGAAACAGGAGAGCTGAGAAGCCCCCTTGCTATGTGTGTGGGGTGGGGTGGGGGGAGTTGCAGTGTTGCTCTGGAAGGTAGGCCCTTCTGGGAGTAGAGGGTGAAGCAGGCACACTGAAAAACCTTCTGGCACTAGTGAACCACACAAAGCACAAACCAGTGGAAAGAATTTAAAGTCTGTGGTACACTGAACTCAACAACCCAACTGAAAACTGGGCAAAGGATTTGAATTGACTTCAAAATGATGCACCAATAGCCAAAGCAGCACACAAAAAGCTTGCTCAACACCATCTATGTTGTTGTTAAGCACTTTTGTTATTGTTGCTAAGTGCCAGCGAGCTGGAGCAGCTGGTAGGTTTGAACCACCCACTTGGTGGTTAGCAGTCCAGTGCTTTTCCTACAGTGCTCAAACCAGGACCTCCCAAAAAGCCCATTGCCATTGAATTGATTTCAACTCATGGTGACCCTGTAAGAAAGAGTCATCACTGTTGCTTAGGGCTTCTGAGACTCTAAACAATCTTTCTTCTGTGCAGTGCCTGGTGAGTTTGACCCAAGAACCTTTCAGTTGGCAGTCCAATGCTTAACTCACTTTACCCTAAGGCTCCTTTCATTAACCACTGAGGAAATGGAAATCAAAATCACTAGATGACACTATTTCACATGTATTAAGAAAGGTATCCTAGTGTGGTGCTGTGGGTTAATGAGCCAGACTGCAAAGCCATTTGAACTGCAAAGTCAGTGGTTCAAGGTCACCAGTTGCTTCTCGGTAACCCTATACAGGGTTGCTATGGGTCAGAATCGACTCGAGGGCACTTAACAATAATAATAAGAAGAAAGGTATGGAATCCTGGTGTAGCAAGGACTGTGGTTCAAGCCCACCAGCCACTCCTCAGAAACCCTACACATGGTCACTATGGGTCAGAACTGACTCAACGGCACTTAACAACCAGAAGAAAGATAAAATTGACAAGACAGACAATCACAAGTGTTAGCTACGATGTAAAGAAACTGGAACTGGTCTCCATTAGTAGTTGGAGAGTAAAATGGTGCAGTCACTGTTCAGTAGTTCCTCAAAATGGTAAACACAGAATTATTACTATTATGCTGTTGTTGTTGTTAAGTGCCGTGGAGTTGGTTCTGACTCACAACAACTATGTATAGGGTTTCTGAGGCTTTAAATCTTCAAGGAAGCAGAAAGGCTCATTTTTCTCCTGTATGATTCGGCAATTCCACTCATAGATAAATATTTAAAACCCTGAAAACAGGTGTCCAAAGAAAAACTTGTATATAATAGCCAAAAGGTGGAAAACACCCAAATGTTCAACTGGGGAATGGATAAACAAAAGCAGTGTATCCATACAATCTAATATTATTCAGCTAGAAAAAGAAATGTGGCACTGTGATACAGACTACAGTGCAGATGACCTTTGAAAACATTACGCTGAGCGGAAGAAGTGAGACATACAAGGCAATATATGCCTATTTCCATTGATATTAATATCTACACTATATAAAGCTATGGAGACAGAACAGCCGATTAGTGGTTTCTAGGGTCTGAGAAGAGAGGTAATAGGGAGTGGCTACTTAATGAGCATAGGCTGTCCTTTTGGTACGATGAGAAATGTTATGCAACTACAATGGACAAAATGTCATTTAAGTTGGACATTTTAAAATGGTTTCTTAAAAGATAAATTTAGTTATGTTTATTCTACTACAATAAATTTAAAAAAATAAAATAAACCGGAATGGTTGACCAAAAAATACCTTGATTTTTTCACTTTCTTTCATCACTTGCTTTGCATTTTCAATAATGTAAACAGTGCTTTTATTGACTTCGTTATCAGCTCTGTGCCTCAGCCAATCCTCATAGCCCTAGAGGGATAAAAATAACTATGTAACCAAGCTCAGACAATGAAGTAAAGTTGATAATAAATATCTATAATCTCCGATGAGTCATCACAAGCAGGTATTTACACTCAAGAGTATTCATTTCAACTGAGACTGCTAAACAGATAAAGCTGCTCATTTTCATAGCAAAAACTGAGACACACTTTTAAACCACCCCTTAGGTAAATCACTTTATTGTATTATAAGATATCTTTGTTCTTCAGATAATAATGGAAACATCAGCAATGATGATGTTGTTCAGTGCTATGGAGTCAGTTCCTAACTCATACCTACCGTGTGTGAGGAAACTTTTTTCAGTCACACAAAATTATCAACTTAAAAATTAGCCTGCTATATTTGGTCAAACAATTAATCCATCCCTAACATGATGGCAGGAGTCCTGGTGTGGCGCTGTGGGCTAATGCGTCAGACTACAAAGTTGTTTGAACCGCAAGGTTGGTGGTTCAAACTTACCAGCTGCTCTTGAAAACCCTATACAGGGTCACTATGGGTCGGAATCGACTTGGCGGCACTTAACAACAACAATGTGATGGTGGAGCCTTGGTGTGGCGCTGTAGGATAAGTACTGGTCCACAAGGTCGGTTTGGACCTCAAGGGTTCCTATGATTTGGAACCCACTCAAGAGTAATTAACAACAACAAATATGAAGGCTGTAACTGCCTTTGCCAGACCAAATGATTTTGTGGGCCTTATGTGGCCGGAGGGCTAGACATTCCCCACCCCTGGTGTATAGGGTTTCCAAGGCTGTAAATCTTTGAGGGAGCAGACAACCTTGTCTTTCTCCCACAGAGTGGTTCCTGGGCTCAAACTACTCACCTTGTAGTCTGAAGTTCATTGCTAATCCTACAGAGCCACAGCACTCCCCAATATAATAATAACAAAGAATATGAATATCAGCATAGTGTCTTACTAATCTACAAAACTACAAAGGATTATGATTTAGTCTTCTACTTCTACTCTTATTCAAATAAATGTTGAATCTCTAGTTGTATATATATAAGTTCTGTGTCTTTATTTTCTTACAGACTTAACCAAGAGGGGGCTTTAAAAAGCTCAGAGAAAAATAGAATTAAAAGATCATTTTTTTCCACAAGTGTTTTGAAGCCCTCTTGAAAACTCTTTTGGAGTAGAAAGCTGCCATGGTCAACTTCAAGGCCATATATATCATAATGCTTCCCCACCTATAGAGAATAGAGAAGGGCAAGGTAGGATTGTTTTGGCAGATCATTTATAAGTTTCACGTGATATGACCAGTTAAACTCTTTAGAGTTAGTCATTAAATGAAAACAAGGATATATATTAGTGCTCATATTTCAGAGTTAAAAGTAACCAGAGAACCATCTAATGGCTCACTTGTGCTTGTGCCTTTTGTCTGGAGGAGATTTCAACAAAAGAATCATGGCAGGAGGCCTTTCACTCACGTGTTTGAGCACAGCCTCTTCCTTTTCTACATCCCTTAGCTCCTGTTCTTTGTGGCAATGCCTGTACCTTCAGGATCTTTTCAACTACAGTTCTTTGAAAACTCTTTTCATGCCCCCCCCCCCAGGGTTATATTCACTCCTCCTCCACTGCTCTGAATGACAATGCTGGGCATCACTTCACAGGATAGTTTCTGTGATGCCAGAACTGCCACCAACTAGTTATGGGAGTAAAATCAATCAGTAAAAGCTTCTGAAAACTATACATGCTATTCTGGGAACCAGCAATTCTATGATGTTAAAGAAAATAATCCTAAGAGCCTTAAGGGAAAGAACATTCCCAAAGTCTTTATTTAGAAGCCAAACATTTGATAAAATCTTCTTGCAGTCCTGCAGTTCCTGGTAGGCAAGATAGAAGCACAGATAACCTCAGGAGGAAAAGGTAGCCTTGTTCCCAAAAACTATTAAACAGAACTTTGTTTTGTATGTACTTTGATAATTATTGTCTAAAAGGATGTTTCTAATTAGCCCAGTCCTGAGGACCACCCCAATACAGGGCAAAGACTGCTAATCACCCCACCCCACCCCACCCCACCCCACTCCCACCCCTGGTTTACTGTTCCCATTCTGGGTTATATCTCCTTTTCAAAGGTACACCATATCAAATAAGGAGCTCTGATAGCACAGTGCTTATGAATCGGCCTGAGAACCTCAAGGTCAGGAGTTCGAAACTACCAGCTGTTCCACGGGAGAAGGATGAGGCTTTCTGCTCCCATAAAGATTAAAAGCCTCAGAAACCCTGTACAGGGTCGCTATGAGTTGGAACCGACTCCACGGCACATAACAACAACAACCATATCAAATAGGTGGCACTGTGGGCTAATGCGTCAGACTGCAAAGTCATTTGAACTGCAAGGTCGGTGGTTCAGGCTCACCAGCTGCTCCTTGGAAACCCTATACAGGGTCACTATGGGTTGGAATCTACTTGACAGAACTTAACAACAACAACCACATCAAATGTGGACAGTGCTTCAGAGACATCTGCGGCAGCTGCGACAAGAAGAAACACAAACACGTCTCCCCTCTCTACCACTGCAGGTCCTTCAGCAGCAAGAGGAAAGATGACAGAAGTGCAGTATGTGTGCTCTTGAGTTCTGTGCCGTTGAGGGGAGCTTTTCTAACAGACATAGCAGACTGCAACAATTCATGGACATGAGGAAGTCACCTGCCAATTCCCTACTGGGCTGTACCTTCTACCTGCTCTTTCCTTTATGCTCTCAGCTCTCACACAGACACTGAAGCAGGAAGGAGGACAGAACCTGTGTTAACAGCGGTTTCATCATTTTCAATGGGAAGGAACCAAACTAAAGGACAGTGCCCACTCTCCATCCATACGAAAAAGAGTCTTTGACAATGAAATTCAAACCATACTGGCCCGGAATTCAGGCCTAACAGTAAATAAGGAAGGTACCTGCTTGATGGCTGTGACAGTGATAACAAAGAACAGTGGGAGTCCACTGGTAACTGGGCTGGTTGGCGTATCAACAGTGACCTAGATAAAGAAATTCAATTGAGAGTAGGAAGAAATCAGTTACTCACATCTGTGTAGCACTTACATGCTACAACTATGTCAGACAGAAAAGCAGGCAAAATGCATGGAGTTCATTTTCATCAAAACAAAAGTTTTGTTTTCTTATACAAAGGTATAAGAAACAGTCCCAAATTCAGGCTTCCTTGAAGTTGTCAAGGACTTCATTCTTCTTGGATCAACTATCAACACTCACGGAAGCAGCAGTCAAGAAATCAAACGACATATTGCATTAGGCAAATCTGCTGCACAACATCTTTTTAAAGTGTTGAAGAGCAAAGATGTCAGCTTGAGGACTAAGGTGCGCCTGACCCAAGCCATGGTATTTTCAATAACCTCATATGCATGCGAAAGCTGGACAGTGAATAAGGAAGATCATAGAAGAATTGATGCTTTTCAGTTATGGTGTTGGAGGAGAATATTGAAAGTGCCACGGGCTGCCAAAAAAACCAACAGATCTGTGTTGCAAGAAGTGCAGCCAGAGTGTTCCTTGGAGGCTAGGATGGTCAAATTCTGTCTCTCATACTTCGGACATGTTGTCAGGAGGGACCAGTCACTGGAGAAGGATATCATGTTTGGTAAGGTGGAGGGTCAGAGAAAAAGAGGATGACCCCCAGCGAGATGGACTGACAAAGTGGCAGCATCAATGGGCTCAAGTGTGGCAACAATTATGAGGCTGTCCTAGGACTGGGCAGTGTTTCGTTTTGTTGTGCATAGGGTCACTATGAGTCGATACCGACTCGATGGCAACTAACAACAACAACATAGGAGACAGATTGGAAGGAGGGAAAAAAGTGGAGGCAGAAAGTCTTTGTTAGGAGGCTGGGGGTTAGGTGATGGGCTGCTAACCGCAAGGTTCAGTGGTTCAAACCTACCAGCGGGTCCATGGTACAAAGATGAGGCCGTCTTCTCCCATTAAGATTTAAAAAAAAATATATTTTATTGTGAACTATATGATAGTTTACATGGGAGAACATGAGCTTTACATTCATTCTATTATATATCATTACATTGCCATGGTTACAATCCCCTCCATGCATCATCAACCAACCAAATGGTACACTCCACAATCCCATTATGATTTATAGTCTTGAAACTCTATACAGGGTAGCTATGAGCCAGAACTGACTCGATAGCAGTGGGTGGGTTACTTCTATAATCCAGGTAAAAGATGATGGCTTGGACTAGGGTGGTAGCAGCAGAAATGATAAGAAATTACTTAGGAAGCAGTGTTTAGGAAACATAAATGGTAGAACTGGTGAGGGATTACATGTAGTCGGTGATCAAACATGTCTTCCAAGTGCCTGGTCAATGTGCCCAAGTGGATCCTGTTATCAGTCACTAAAAATAGGAAAAACTTTACTCTGAGACCAGAACTAGATGGTGGCTGGCTACCACTATCAACTGCTCGGAAAGGAATCATGTTAGAAGGTCCTAGATAGAGGAGGAGAAAATGTGGAAGAATGCTCAAGATTATAAAAGAGATCAGGCTTACTGGTCAGAGACTGGAGGAACGCGAGACTGTGGTCGTCAGCCACCCTTCAGGTCTAGAACTGAACTCACCCTCACCTTCACCCTTATGGCTCAATTTTCAGCCAAACAGTAGAGATATATAGGGGAATAACAACAATAATAAAGTGTATTTATCATAGGATAGTAAATCATTCAAGATCAAAAGGGCAGCATTACCTAAGGGAAAAGTTCAGAAGTTTTGGAAAGGAGAATGGAATGGAAACAGGAATCACAGGGAAGGATATGTGGGAGAAGTGACGTTACATTGAGGAGAATGCAATCATTGAGATGAAGCGAAGTATATGATCTGTTGAATATAAAACTGATGATCTGCTCTGGAAACCTTCATGCAATTCAAAATAAAAGGTTCTTTTAAAAAGGTTTAAAAAAAAAAAAAGAAAAGTTAATGCTTTAAGAGCACTACGTGAGAAGGAAGATCATGAGTTCAATCTGCCCAAGAAACTCCTCAACAACTGTTGTTCTCAACCCTGCCAAAGCCTGTCCTTGATACAGTCAATGTGCTGCAGACACATGCATTCTTCCATGGCCACACCAGGTCTTTCTAGAGTGTCTTTCCTACCCGTGGATGCTGCTCAGGCATTGGTCACCAGGTGAGACCCTTCTAGTCCTGCAACGTTTGCTTCCTCTTTGAAGCCTTCTCAGACTCCTCTTGGGTAGAAAGAATCCTAAGGCCCACTGTATTCCCATAGCATTTGGCCCATGCCACATCTGGGACATTTACTACATTATTACATTCTGCAGGCACAGGCACCTGTCTTCTCATGTATAATATGAAAATCCATATCTGGACCCTCACTGGGCCAGCTAGCCTTTGCTGTAATACTGCATGGCACACAGTAGGTGCTTCTGCAACTTCTGCAGACCTGCAGGCCAAGTGCAATGATTCCAGCAAGAAGCACCCTCTTCTTAGCTGATGCTATGCTGCCCTTTAAGACACCTAACCATGGATCAATAGGGGCTCCTTTTCCAAATTTCCATCATTCCAGACTGAAATCGACTCTTTCCCATAGTACAGTTCATACTGTTTCTAAGTAGCAGGTAAAATTCAATAACTGTACCATTCATTCAAAGCTTCAAAGTGGATAAACGGACGCACTTAACATCAACAAGGCATTTAAGCAATTTCAATGGGAGTTTTCGGCTTCATTTAAAAAAATGTAATGAGGAAAAAAGTTCCTTTAATGAGTAAAAATTTCAGGGGGGTAATTTTCATGAGAGATTTTAATGGCTTATAGACTTAAAGATATGAGCTACGATTCAAAACGTCCAAAGTAGGTAAAACATCAGAAGGAACAAAGGGAAGCAAATTGATCGACCACTGTTTCAACTGTAATGTGTGCAAGTGAATGAGGAAGAACAAAACTGGCAAGGGGATCAATGATAAGTTTTCAATTAGGCTGTCTTCGGTGTTTAACAAAGCAAAACTATTTGCTTGAACTGTTTTCCGTTATGACATGTGCCACTGCATTTAATGACACAAAAGACATGTCCTGTTAGTATAAACAGGGATATGGAACCCACAAAAGCTTTACAGAAAGTGATCATGGAGGAAAACGATTTCTAGTAAACATAGTACTTGCATAATCGTAAGCCTTGAAATGTGATTACTACTTTATCAAAAGTCATTTTAATAATAAACCCTGGGTATCTTTCCTTCAAACCACATTTTAAGGTTAGAAATAGGTTGAAAATCTGAAGTAACCATGTTTCTAAATGATGAATAGGTATTTATGAAGCTCTTACCTGTACAAGGAAAATGATGAGAAAATAAAAATTTGCAATTCTTCTAAACTGTTCAAACAGATTCTTTGGGAGGAAATTCCAAAGCGTATACTATAAGGGGAGAGAAAAACAGAATATTATCAGAAGGCGAACTTTAAAAATCTTAGTAATAATGACTGATATGGTCCCAGATTCTTGGAAATAAAGTGATAGTTACAACAGCCAACACTTGGGGGGAGATGTTAAAACACAAATGGGACACACACCATTAAGCATGTAGTTAGAGGTTTTCACTTCTTGACATTACTGTGTCTCTGAGCATACCCTGACCCCAACTTCAATTAGGTTCCCTTATTACATTCTCTCCTATCACGCTATGCCCTCCCACTGCTGAATTCCGGTTCATAGTAACCCCACAGGGAAGAACAGGCTGTAATCCTTATCAGAGCAGACAGTGGCATCTTTCTTCTAAACATATTAGTCTAGACTTTCTTGGTGGTATTCTTTATAACCAATGGGGTTTTCTTAACCTTACTTCAATAGCTTTGTTACAGCAAATAGTTACACCTGTGTGAAATTTGTATTAAAGTTTTCCCTTTGAGAGGCAATGAGTTTTATAAGGACAGGGTCTTCTTCGTCTATCTTGTTTACTGCTGTCTCCCTGGCACCTAGAACAGTGCCTGGCATAAAATGTTTTTGTTGTTAAGTGCGGTCTAGTTGGTTCTGACTCATAGCACCCCTGCATAGGGTTTCCGAGGAGCAGCTGATGGAGTTGAACCAGTGACCTTTGAGGTTAGCAGTTCAGTGCTTAATTCCCCTGGCTCAGGCAACCTTTGAAGTCTGGATCTTCCCCATAGATATTAACTCTGTTTCAGCTGAAAGGGCCAAAGCAGAATTTCACTTAAGTCAAGAACATACCACATGGGGCGTTGGGAAGACAGCTGCGGAGGTTTAAATGTTAAGTTGCATCTGGGCAAAAAGAGTGCCCTCTTAGACCAAATGTGAAAGAGCCTATATGTTTGGAGCCACCACTGATACCTTAATCTCAAGGACCAGGTCGTTTCAGAATCTCTAGAAGAAATAGCATTTGCTACATATTTTTAAAAAAGACCAGAACCTCGAAAGGAAGACATGTTTCTTAACCTAAAGAGTTAAATTTACATGTGACCCGTCTCCATGCCAAATATCCCCATAATATCAGAACATGTCCATTAAATTAGGGAAGGTGACTGAAAAGCCAAAGTCACAGAGCATGCCTTAGCCTAGGGGTGGGGAACCTTGTTCTACCAAAATGTATAACATCATTCGTGGGCCATACAAAATTATCATTTTAAAAATTAGCGTGCTATATTTGGTCAAATATTTAATTAACTCTCCCCTACTGTGATGGTTAAGGAGCTCTGGTAGTGTAGTGGTTACAAATCGGGCTGCGAACCTTAAGGTCAGTAGTTCGAAACTACCAGCTGTTCTGCGGGAGAAAGATGAGGCTTTCTGCTCCCGTAAAGATTTACAGCCTCAGAAACCCTGTACAGGGTCGCTATGAGTCAGAACCGACTACACAGCACATAACAACAACAACTGTGATGGCTGGAATTTTGGTTGCCTTGGCAGGGCCAGGCCAAATGATTTCTCAGGTCTTATAGGGCCTTGGGCTGGACATTCCCCATCGCTGCCTTAGCAAATGGGGATTGAGCATATGGGGATTTCCTATTAACCTCACTTCATTAGGCTTCTAGGCCCAAGGGGATGAAGATAAATGAAGGCAAACACATTAAGCAACTGTATTACAACCAGCAGCCAATCCAGAAGGTGAGCGTCCTCTGGGATCCAAGAAGGTACTTCAGGGAAGACCATTCAACATTAATGTGTATCGTTCAGAAGAGAATATAGTTCATACTGCTAATGAGATCCTCACAGGCAGTTTAAGACCATAAATTAAAAGGCTCAAAACTATCAGCCACTTGCATTGAAGCTGGCTTAATCAAAGCCAGCACCTAAATATTACAGCTACTTCATTTCAACGGTTGGTAACAAGTTTATGTCATGGCTAACATGGAGCTCTGGTAGCCTAGTGGTTACGAGTCGGGCTGCTAAGCTCAGGGTCAGCAGTTCAAAACTGCCATCAGTTCCGTGGGAGAAAGATGAGGTTTTCTGCTCCCATAAAGACTTATAGCCTCAGAAACTCTATACAGACTCGTTATGAGTCGGAACCGACTCCACGGCACACCACCACTATCACCAAATTGCACAACAGCCTACCAACTGAGCTTCTGGCATGTGGTTCCAAGCTAAAGGGCTTTCACTTACAGGAACAAAGACATTGAGGATTGTTAGAGTCCTCTGTGGGAGTGCTAACACATCAAAAAGGAACACTTGTTCCTAGGTTCCACTGTAAACTTACTGCCACTTTAACACGCTAAATTAACTGCTTCCGTGAGCACTCTGACTATTCCCTTTACAGGGAACCATTGCTATTTGCTCTAGGTAAACGCACTGGACTGCAAGGTCAGTTTGGAACACAAGGTCAGTGGTTCAAGCTAACCAGCCACTCCTTGGAAACCCTATACAGGGTCACTATGAGTTGGAACTGATACGATGGCATGTAACAACAACATTGCTATGTGCTACCTCTGCTCCTTTATGGAGTCCTGAGCTGTTAAGGTGTCAGGGAGCATGTCACAGGTGCATCACAGGACACAGGGAGGCTTCCATCTACATGTGGACAGCTTTAGTGCTTGGGGGGACTACTAGTCCGTTAGTTACGTCCCTCTTACTGTTGTTTGCTGTCCGCTTCTCATTTGTAGACAATGAAGCTACATTCCATTTGCTAAAGCGTGTCTTCTGGTAGCGTAGTGGTTACAAATCAGGCTGCGAACCATAGTCAGCAGTTCGAAAGTACCAGCTGTTCCCCGCAGGAGAAAGATGAGGCTTTCTGCTCCGGTAAAGATTTACAGCCTTGGAAACCCTGTACAGGGTCGCTGTGAGTCGGTTCCGACTCCACGGCACATAACCACCACCACCAAAGAGTGTCTTCAATATATTTAGGCCTTGAAGGGACTTCATATTTATGGTGGTACTGTAGAGTAAGGACTGGACTGCTAACCACAAAGTTGGCAGTTCAAACCCACCAGCCACTCCATGGGAGAAATATGAGGCTTTCTACTCTCATAAAGATTTACAGTCTTGGAAACCCTATACAGAGTGTCACTGTTGAGTTGGAACTGACTTCATAGCTCCAAACAACAACATTAAGGAGAAATTACTATTAATGATTGGTGCTGCTAAGTGCGCCAAGTTGGTTCCAACTCATAGCAACCCCCTGTATAGGGTTTCTGAGGAGTGGCTGGTGGGTTTAAACCACAAACCTTGTGGTTAGCAGTCCAGTGCTTTTATTATGTTTATCTAATGGCCTACTGGTTAATTGGGAATCTAGAACAACCTATCAATGCATCACACAGGTACAAAGGAACAAAATACCTATATTTTAACACTTGTTGTTGTTCAGTGCCCTCGAGTCGGTTCCAACCCATAGTGGCCCTGTATAGAAATTCCAAGGAAAAGCTAGTAAATTTGAACCATAAGACAGTTCAAACGACTTTGAAGTCCAGCTCATTAACCCACCATGCCACACCAGAACTCTAGCTGCACAATTTTTAACACTAGCTGTACATAAACACCTAGTTTTCAATTAGCCGCTCTAACTGTTCACTTTGGAGTCCTGGTGTGGTGCTATGGGCTAATGCATCAGACTGCAAAATCATTTGAACTGCAAGGTTGGTGGTTCAAGTTCACCAGCTGCTCCTTGGAAACACTATACAGGGTTGCTATGGGTCGGAATCGACGCTACGGCACTTAACAACTGTTCACTTTACTACATTACTGTATCCATTGTATTATCAACTCTCTTTGATACAGACACTAAATTCCATTTTGAACACCATAATTTCATTATCAATGTCACACAGAAGAACTTTCCTTTTTTTTTTTTTTTTTAAAGTATAACTCTTTGTACCGTAAATTCAGATAGAAGAGCAAAAGGAACTACCAGAGCATAAATGGATCAGGATTTAGTAGCTTTGCCTAAACAATCACCTTCAGGGAATTAGATTAAGACATGAATAGCATGAAGTCTAATAAATCCACTGATAATGCTGATGTTTAAAATGAGGAAACACTAGTGTCATTTTATACTTGAAACTTCAATCCAAACATTTTTCCACATCATGGGTTCTAAGCTTAGCTTCGAGTATGCCTTCGAATAGTCCAGTGGAGCCCAAATGATCGTTATCCTCCTGAAAGATCTTCACCATGAGGCTCAAAAAAAAGGTGCTCCAAGGAACACAAAGGACACTGAAGATTCCAGCAGAGTGTCGGCAGTCACTGAGCAATGCTCTTTTTGCTAAAGTAGGGACTTTCTGAATATTTTAGCAGCTAAGAATTCTGTTGATTCCCAAAGGTCCCTTTCAGAGTACATTAAACTAGTACAGCTGCAAAGTACAAGTTTTTCTAAAGAAAGTATTTGTGTTCCAAGGAGAAAGGAAAAAAAAAAAAAAAGAACACTAATTATATAAGGAAATAAAATAAAAATTCAGTCAAAGTGTTTTTCTTTAGTGTTCAATGAATTAAGAGGACTTATTCTCAATGTTACATTTGTGCATTACTGGCTGTATTTGCAAACAAAACAAAACCAAAAAAACACCCAATTAAGATAAAGTTATTCTATGAAGAAGGGTGGAAAAAGGAAATCAACACTTGTCATACACTTGGAAGGCAACAAGCAGAGTCTATAAAATGTACATTTCTGTAATTAAACAATTCTGGTACCAACACAAACAGTCAAAGGACAATGCGAGGAATAAAAAGTGAAAGTGTGAAACCATTGGTCTCTCCTTTAAAAACGACTACCCGACACAGTCACAGAAACCAACAATGACAACTACCATCAACTGAGTCAGTACTATAAAGTACAGTGCTATATGCTTTATGTGAATTATCTTATTTCATCCTCACTACAGTCTTATGTTGTTGTTTTCAATCATGACCCAGGCCATGATGTTTTCAATAGCCTCATATGGATGTGAAAGCTGGACAGTGAATAAGGAGGATCGTAG